TTCTTAAATAATTTAAATTTATAAAAATTTTAAATTAAGAACCTAGACTTACTTTTAAAAAAGTAGATATTAATTTATATCTAACTAATATTTTATAATAGAGACTTTTAATTTTAATTATTTAAAAAATTTAGATTTATTTTTAATTATTATTTTATAATATTTCTTCAGGTTCTTATCAGTCTATTTTATTTATTTTTATAGATTATTTAATATTAATTTCTTAGACTCTGGACTAGCGGGGATTTCTTTATTAAGAATTTTATTAATAAATATTATATAAATAAATCCTTTTTTAAATATAGAATTAAATAATTAGATTTCTTAATTTATAATATATTTATCTTTCTTCTTGGATATATTTTAGAATCTTTAAAATAAAATATTTAATTAAGTATTTATTATTTCTAGATAATAATTAATTATAAAGTTAAAATAATTTAAAAATTAAATTTAATATATTTATCACTCTGTGAGCTGCTATTAAATTATAAAATATTCTAGATTTTAATAATTATTAAAAATTTTAAAATAAAGAAATATAATAAGCTCTAATTTTTATTTTTATAAAACTTAGATAATTATTAGCAGTTTCTTATTATAAATCTAATAATTATACTCTGCGGGCAGATTTTTCTTTAAAAAATATATTATTAAATAAAAGATTTCTTAATTATTTTATTAAAATAATATTTTTTTTATATATTATCTAGAGAAATTAATTTTTATTAATATTTTTTATTTAGAATTCCAATGCACAAGGATAAAAATAATAATAAAGATTTTTTTAAAAATTTTAAATATTTTTTAGATCTCTGATATCTAGCTGAACTTAATATTCTTTTTAATAAATTATATTAAAAATTCTAAATAAACTTTTTAGTCCTTAAGAAATTATTAGTAAAAATTAGTAAATTCTAGAAAGATCCTAATATTATAGATAATTTTTAGTATTTTTTAATTTTATATAATCTGGATCTTAATAAAGTCTATATAAATTTCTTTTCTTATCTTAATAATAAATTCTAGATATTTTATAATGGTTATTTTAAATTTATATTTATTAATATTTACTTAGAAGTTTATATTTTATAAGTATTCTAATATTTATTATATCTGGATATAATATATAACTAAACTTTTATCTATAAAAATAAAAATATTATTAATATAGATAAAACAGAATTTATTAAGAAATTTCTATAAGATCTAATTAATATATTACTAGAATATATTTAGATAATTAATAAGTCTAAACAAGACTATCAACTATTTAAATAATTTAAAATAAATATAAAATATAATTTTTTATTTATTTTTTTTTTGATCTGGATATAGTAGAAGGCCTAAATAATATTTAATTTAATATAATAATAGATTTTTAAAATATATTAAAGAGTTTCTTGAATAAGTAGTAAAAAATACTAATTCTTTATTATTATTTAATTAAATATCTAATAATCTATATAAAAATATAAATTATTACTAGATTTTAAAATAAACAGCACAGACGCGGCTGCTGGAAAATTATTAATCTTTATAAATTCTTTTTTTAAAAAATTAATTAATATTTTTTATAATATTAAGAGTTCTAGTTAGTTTATCTAATAAAAAAAATTTTAAGAGACTTTTTTTTTCTTTTTTTTAATATCTTTAATTATTTTTATGGCATGGTCCACCTCTGGATAATAAAATAATAAAATATTTATTATTATTTTATTAAAAATATTTAAATATTTATAATAGAGACCTGGTAGCTTGCTTTTTATTTTTATAAGATCTTTTAATTAATTAAGTTTATAAAGAGCTTTATTAATATTTATTAAATTTATTATAAATAGTTTTACTAAGTTTTTTTTCTTTTTTTAATTCTTCTAAATGTACTATATATTAGTAGAGATTATAAATAATATTAAAAAATAATTTTATTTTTATTTATATTATACTTCCACCCCTATACTCTGGATATAGAATATAAAGTTTTTAATTTAAAATATTATATTCTAGTACTTTATTTATGGAAGTTTTAATATAATATTATATTTATATATATATAATAAAATATAGAGATATATATATTTCTATAGATTTTTATTTATATTTAATAATATTTTTACTAATTTAATTATACAGGCTTTTCTTTTCTTAAATTCTTTAATATTTTAGAATTTAATAAGAATATATTCCAGTTTATTTTTATTTATAAAGTTCTGGCTGATTATTCTATAAGATATATAATTAATATTAATCAAGATATTTATAAAATAAATTTTATTAATTAATTCTAATATAGAGAAAGTGTAGTGGCCTTTAAATTTTTAAATTTTTTTCTTAAATTTTTTATAATTATAATTAATTAATATATATTCTTCTAGATAATAATCCAGGAAAATTATATTTTTTCTAGAACTAGAAATTACTAAGTAACTGGATTTTTTAATATCTAATTAACTTTATTAACTAGATTATCTTTAAGCAGAGCTTAATAGACTTTATTTTTTAAGTTTTAAAAATACTATGGTAGTAGATAAAAATATCTAATAATATAATATTTTAAAAATTTATAATATAAATAAAATCCTGTCTTATAATATTTAATTAATATTTTTTTTAATATTTATTAAACTTATTAAATAGATCCTATACTTATTACTGTAAGTTCCTAATCTATAATATTATTTATAATTACTTTTTTAGAGATACTACCTGTCTAGATATTTAAATATTTTAGTTACTTTTCTAAAAATTAGTTTATTTTTATAAATTTATTAATTATTTATTTAATTTATTAGTAAAAGTTTTTAAAATCTGATTTTTATTTAATACCTACTATTTATTTAAAATTTTTTAATTATATTCTCTGACCTTGATTAACAGGCTGTTAATTTTTATTAAAAAATTATTAATTATTTAATTTTTTTATTTAAGAATAGATAGCTTACTAATAATTTTTTTTTATTAAACTAGATTCTTATAAATTAATTTAAGATAATTAATTAAGACTATAACTGAGAAGAATAAAATCTTATAATTAATTTTTATTTATAAATTAATCTTTACTTTAGCTTTTCTATCTAGAAATATAAATATATATCAGATTTATTCAGCTAATATACTAATAAATTATTAATTAATTCTGATTTTTATCTGTATATTATTAAATTAATTTAGAAATTTATTTTTATTCTTTCTATTAAAGCTCATAGATATTAATAACTTTAATTTCTTTATATCAGCCAGATCTTGAGCTGGTATTAATACTAATATAAATATTAATATAAATAAAAATATTATAATAAATACTTAAGAAAACAGGAGTCAGGTATTAATAAATTATTTAATTTATTTAAAACTAGTCTTAATCTTATTATCTGTTATTATACTTTATTAGAAAATAATATATTATATTTTTATATTTTAGATTATTAGTTCTTTAATATATTTAGTTAATTAATTAATAATATTAGCTTAGATAGTGTCTCTATAATAGCTAAAGATATTTATTAATTTATTATAATTATTATATATTACCAGTCTATTATCTGATAGATATTTTAAAAAAAAATAAATTTAAAACTGTAACAGACTAAGAAGCTAGAAGAATTATATAAAATATAATAATTAATAAAAAAATTAAATTTATTAAAAAAAGAATTATCTAATTTATAGATAGATTAGTTTTTTTTATAGATAACTCTCTTAAAAGTTTTTCTTTATAACTCTAATAAATTTTTTTATTATTCTAGAGATTTTTATCTTTTTTACAGATATCTTTAAGTCAAGGTCTAGAACTAGATAAATTAAAATATAAATATTCTGATTCCAGATGGCTGACAGGGCCTAGCCCTTTTCATCGTCCGAGGCAGTGTCGGTTTTGTACATAGTAGATGGAGGTTGAGGGACATGACTTTCTTTCAAAATTTCTGATTATCATGAATCTTATGTAAAATAAATCGGTTCAGGATATTGTACTCCCATTCGTTTATTCAGGAAAATAGAAGAGGGAGGGAAGGAGGGAGAAAGAGAAACATGAGATAGAATAAAAGATGGGAGGGGTTGGTTGCTCATAATTCACAGGGTTCTTAGTCTTCGGACCCTTGCGTCAACGGCCGGCGCATTCCTCGGATTATTCTACTGCATTAGTGGAGTAAGGTGCTGATTGCATGTCTCCACTGCATGTAGCCGGGCTTTGCCATGGTCCAAGCGGGTGTACGAAGAATCCTTGATTTCGTTGAAATCTTGTTTCGCACCAGTATGGCGGTAAATGTCGAATGGGAAGATTTTCATGCACGCTGAGAGTGTTTTGCTCCAATCATTTGGAATGACTGAACTGAACCAAGCCTATGTAGTATTACTAGAAAACTCCGCTTATGATTTTTATGCCCGACCGTTATACCTTGACCTTAACCTAACCATAACCTAGCGGTCAGATTAATGTAGAAAAATCTCTTAACTATCAGAAATAACAGTTAATTACAGTTAACTGTTTAATTTAATCTGGCAGTATTCCAACAGAAATCTGACCATATTTTTAAAACAGTTGGGATAATATAATTTTTCTACTTAATTTTAACCTGATTCTGGTTTGAACTGGCTTAATTATAATGAGTGAATAAAGTACAATTAACTATAGGTAAACCGCGGTTAATATATATATTTCCTATACCTAACCATTAACCTGGCTGCAAATATACTCTTTTTATTAAGCTGACCTAAACCGACCATTTGCTACTCTACTCACGATCGTGTACAGACCATGAGTATCCTGGTAACTCCATGAGTAACGCCTGCATGAGGGCTGAGTAGTGAGTGCTAGGACGCAAGGGCGATGCTCCTATTAGCCAAGGTGCCATGCTCACGAGATTCCGTCCCTCTATGCAGGGAATGATAGGCTATGACTATCTACTGGATAGTATTTGAGAAAGCTACTTTACTGCATTGGACATTTTGCATGATTCGTGTTAAACAATACGACACTATGCATGGGATTACAGAACAAATCACTCCCCGTAACACATCAGCGCCTTCAATTCATTTTTGATCTGCATAACCCAGGCCAGATCAGAAGGGATCCAGTGATCGCCCTCAAATTCGAGCAGCCGCGCGGAGTCCTCCTCAAACAATTCTTTCATCTCCAGCGCCACACTGCGCGTAAAATCCTCCGATCCCAGAACATGAAGCGACGGGACTGCAATAGGATCTGGAAGAGATTTTGGTGAGAGCCTAGCTGGCGCATTGTCATGCCCAGCGTCAGGTCCCCATACAGGAGGGGGACAGTAGCCCGAAAAAAAGACGCAACAGCGCAATGGACCAAGAATGTCCACCTTTTCTACCATTTCGCGCACGAGCATGTCGCAGACAATCGATGATCCTTGCGAATAGGCGATAATTCCATCAATAGGGCCCCGTTTGTCAATGTTGTGGCGGATGTACTGGTGGCATTGCTTGAGTTTGTCTCGATTGGTGTCCTCTGACAATGGGACCCAGACAAAGTCTTACCAATTAGCTGAATCATGAACCCCCGAGGGAAACCTACATCCTCCAGGGTAGCAGTCCGCATCTGGGACGCGAGAGTGCTCCACGGGAAAAGTGGCGTTAAGAAATACAAACTCGCAATCATGCTCAGCTTGCAAGGCTACCATCAGAGGTGCTTTATGCTACATCAGCGCTTCATCAGAAATAGCAGAATAAAGTTCATTCTTACCCAGCTGGATCTTGAACATCTTCAAACGTAAGTAAATTATAGCTGTAGCCTAAGGGATGAGTACTCACGGTGGAGTTCATTTCTCCTCCGTGCATGCAGAGCCAGCGGAACGGCATGATGGTGCACTAAGATGACCAGAATACAGACGGTGGTGGTCTAATTGGAGAGAGTAAATGAGAACCGTGATGCAGAGTAAGATGTCTCTTTGAATGTCGTAAGAATCACAGTCTGAAAATCAGAGCTAATTTATAACCGGGGGTGTCCATGCTGAAGTTTATCAGAAGGCATGGTCCACCCTCGGCGTTAAGTGTGTCTGCTCACCTGGAGAAGGAATTTGTCTCCTTCCTGGAAAGGTAAATGCCGATAGCTGTATCCGAACTTGTTTAGAAACATGACATGTATCAGATGCCTAGACAGGCAATTCCGTCAGCAAGGTAGCTCAACCTCTAAGCTAGGATGCAATTTATTGGTAGATATGGGAATTCATTGGGACAAAAGGCAGGATACTGTACTCACGATTTGTAACTTTACTTGCGCAGGTAATTTCGGCAACACAGAAGCCTACACCTCACAGCCTGGCGTCATCCCTGATGTGTCTGTCAATTTTCAGAAGTCGGCCGGAGCGGGGGGGGGGGGGGGGTAACACAACTTCCGATCATTCCGAGGAAACCTGGTAATGATGCAGAATTGCTGAAGCGACTCCAAGTTTTACTTCATTCGGTGTATCCGAGGGCTAAATGGTTCAAAAACTTGAAAGTTGATGTAACAATCTATGCACTCTTTGGATAAAATCACGAGACACATGATTCCAAAGCGGCTATATATTGTATGTTCGAATACTTTCAAGAAACAAACTAAGCAGCAATAGCAATTACTGATATTCTATCCGTCTTTTCGAAGTTGTACTCTGCGTCCTGAATCCAAAATGGGTCCTCCTGAGAAGTCTTCGGCAAAGGAACTTGCCGTGGTTGGAATGGCATGTCGGTTCCCTGGTGGAGCGGCGAGCATTGATCAGTTCTGGCAGATTCTTGTACAGGGGAAAAGCACCTTGTCTGAGGTCCCATCTAATCGGTTCTCTCATATGGCGCATTATCACCCGACCAAAGAGACTACAGGAGCGGTAAGTATTGTTCAAATACTGTCGTGCCCTATTTTAATTTTGTTATAGTACAATTGGAGAGGAGCACATTTCCTTAATAAGGATCCAGCTCTCTTTGATCCTCAGTTCTTTAAAATCTCTGTTAATGAAGCCAAGGTGGGACACTTGCGGTTCTTCGCAATAATACACAAAACTAATTTTGTCTGCTAGGCCATGGATCCCCAGCAACGTCAACTACTCGAGGTTACATACGAAGCAATAGAAAACGGTATGTCTAGAACCGTGATATTGAGCTGTTCTGATATAATCAGCTGGTATTCCCCTGAAAGCCCTCGCTGGATCCAAGACCGGAGTATACGTGGGAGTATCTTCAGCGGACTATGACCGCATCACATCACGAGATCCAGAGTATGTGCCCCAATACCAGACAACTGGAACTGGCCTGGCATACCTTTCCAATCGACTGTCGTACACCTTTGACCTCAGGGGTCCCTCCTTGTCTGTTGACACAGGCTGCTCGGCGGCAATGGTCGCGTTGCATCTTGCTTGCCAGAGCCTCGCCGCTGGCGAAAGTAAACAGGCTATAGTCGGAGGAGTGAACCTGCTCCTTGACCCCATGAGCAGTGTGTGCATGAGCAACATGAGGTATATGAGTAGAGGCTCTAAGTCGTATGAGTGCTGACAATTTTACAGATTCTTCAATAATGACGGCCGCTGCTATACCTACGACAACCGTGGAGATGGATATGGACGGGGGGAGGGTGTTGGCTGTGTCATTCTCAAACCTTTAAGCGATGCCATACGCGACGCTGACCCTGTCCATGCTGTCATTTGCAATACGGCAGTGAACCAAGATGGCCACACACCTGGCATCACCATGCCGTCCGAGGAAGCACAGGCGTCTATGATACAGACTGCCTACGAGAGCGCCGGATTGGACATGTCCTTGACGGCATATGTAAGTCTTCTAAGTCTCCTCAAAAGGAAATACTGATCTTTCAAGGTCGAATCGCACGGGACTGGGACCATGGTGGGCGACCCGATCGAAGCTGGTGCAATTGGGACGACTATAGGAAGGTCTCGGTTGGCACACCAGCTTCCCCCAGCGCTTGTTGGGTCCGTGAAAACTAATCTCGGTCACCTTGAAGCGGCGAGCGGACTTGCAGGGTTGATAAAAACTGTGCTGATTTTGAAGCATGGTGTGATTCCGCCTAACATCAACTTTGAGCAGTATAACCCGAAAATACTGGCCAGAGAGTGGGGAATCGCGGTACGCCTCTAACGGTGTCCATAACAAGCTCGGAAGACCTGCTAATAACGTGCCAAATACCAGGTTCCCACAAAAATGACGCATTGGCCAGATAATGACGTTAGGCAAGCATCTATTAACAACTTCGGCTACGGAGGCACGAATTGTCATGCAATCCTTCGCAGTGTACCTGTGGCATCCCAGTGTTGCCAGGAAAGCACCATCAGAGCCAATAAATACATCATAGTTATCAGCGCCCATTCTAGAAGAGCACTGACTAAATTGGCATTGCAGCTAAAGTTGTATCTCATCAATCAACCGCATCTCTCCGACTCCAGCCTACTTCCACGACTGATGCATTCCCTTGCGTGTCGCCGATATAACCATGGATATCGAGCTGCGTTTGTGGTCGATTCGATCATCGATTTGCTTTGCCAGCTAAATGTCTCCACAATGTCAGTGGGGTCGTCAATGGTTCCACCGAAGCTTGTATTTTGTTTCACCGGACAAGGAGCACAGTGGTATGCAATGGGAAGAGGACTATTGGCGTCTTTTCCTGTGTACCGTTCCAGTCTGCTTCGGTTGGATCTTCATCTAGCGAATCTGGGAGCTAACTGGTCACTGATTGGTGAGTACCTTTAGATTATGCAACCTCTGTCACTAACAGTTGACAGAGGAGCTCGGTTATGATGAAAAGAATTCCCGTCTGTCATGCGCGGAACTTAGTCAGCCCACTTGTACGGCAGTGCAGATTGCATTGGTAGACTTGCTAAGATCCATGGGGATTAAGCCCATAGCCACCATTGGCCATTCAAGTGGCGAGATTGCGGCTGCGTACAGCGCCGGAGCTTTCAGTGCAGAGGATGCTATCCACCTGGCATATGCTCGAGGTCTGGCAGTTAGTGGCCTCCGGGGAAACGATCAAGGTTCGATGATGGCTGTCGGGCTCTCCGAAGAAGAGGTCAAAAATTACATTGGCAAGCTCCCTGAGCAGCTGGGCTTAGTTCGAGTCGCATGTTTGAACAGCCCAAAAAGCGTCACTGTGTCTGGAGATACGGTGGCTTTAGAACATCTCCATGATGCCCTTCAAAAGGATAAGGTGTTTAGCAAGAAACTTAAAGTTGACAGGGCCTACCACTCACACTATATGAAGGCTTGTATGGAAACGTACCATGCCCAGATCGCCAAAATCAGTCCTCGATGCCTCCAGGAAGCGAAGTTTTATTCAACGGTATACGGGGAAAATGTTGAAAACAGTAGATTAGGCTCAGAATATTGGGTCCAAAATCTTGTTTCACAGGTCAAGTTCCACACGGCCCTCGAAATGCTGCTACATGACACCCACAATGTATTTCCGAAAGAAAGTGCCTGCGTTGTGGAAATTGGGCCGCATAGCGCCCTCGCAGGGCCCATTAAACAGACTTGGTCTTTGACACAACCGGAAAGCCCCGTTGATTACCTGCCGACACTCGTCAGAAACCAGGACTCAATTACGGCGATACTTGATTTCCTGGGCAAACTATTCATTAAGGGATATGATGTGGACTTCGATGGAATAGCGCCGGAGAAATCTTTGTTCTTGCACGATCTACCGCCATACCCATGGGACCACTCGACAGCGTATTGGCATGAGTCTCGTTTGAGTGCGGGCTACCGATTAGCGAAGTATCCACGACACCAGCTTCTCGGAGTCCGATCGTCAGACTGGAACCCAGTGCAGCCAAGTTGGAGGAACGTCTTGCGGGCCTCGGAGAATCAGTGGGTGAAAGGGCATCAAGTGCAAGGCAGAGTGATATATCCAGCTGCTGGGTACGTGTCCTTAGTTCTCCAGGCATGTCAGCAACTTGCGGAAGAGTCCGTCCGATCATATATTCTTAAGGATGTGCATTTTCTCAATGCTTTGATTCTCGATTCTATGGATAGTCAGCCAATGGAGCTGTCACTCCGTCTCCAGCGGCTTTCACGCAACCTGCAGGACACTGCCCCTGCATGGCTGGAGTTCAATATCTCTTCCACGACAGATGGAGGTTCCTGGCTAGAACATTGCCGGGGGATCGTCAGCATCCAATACAAGAATGACACAGTTGATGCAGAATGGCTGCGTGAGTCAGAGTACAATCGCAGCGAAGTCTGGGCCGAGTTTAAAAAGGCAGCGGATCGCTGCGTACCGATGGACAACCACCAAGTCTACCACAAATTTGGGGAAGTAGCAGTAAAGTATTCCAACCTGTTCAGGTGCATGCGGGAGGTCCATGCAAATGTCGGTATATGTACTGCTGTCGTCGAGACGGTAGACTCGGCTTCACTTCTTCCCGATAGCTTTGAGCATAGTCAGATAGTCCATCCTGCGACGCTGGATGGCTGCTTCCAGACAATACTTCCAGCCATGCTAAAAGGCCACGCCGTCAAGACTTCTATGCTTCCTGTACAAATCAGGGAAATGGTTGTTTCTGGTTGCCTGACTCATGACCCTGGAACTGCCCTAAAAGTCCTTACAACTACGAAAAGAACAAACCTCAACACCCAAGAGGCAAAAATTATGATTACAGACAAAGAGGGTGAGCCGCTTGTGGAAATCAAGAGATTTTTCTGTAAAAGTCTGCCCACAAATAGCAGCCAGAGCAAGGAGTCATACGCCCTCTGCCATCGCGTTCATTGGGTCCCCGACATTGACCTAATGGAAGAAAGGTCAGCCAAAAAAATTGCTTATGCTGGATTACAGGAGACCAACCCCACTGAAGAGTTCGAGGTCCTCGAAATAGCTGTTGATCAGCAAATCCGGCATTGCCTAGCAAACATCAGTGATGCGGACGTTGCCGCACACGCGAAAGAATGGCATCGGCAGCAATATGACTGGTTTAAACACTATGCGGCCACTCATCCCCCGAGGCCTGGATTACCGGGACTGCAAGAAAAAGCAGAATCCTTTGGGGCAATAGGAACCTTGGTCTATCGCATCGGGGCCCAGCTTCCCGATATAATACTTGGTCGGGCTGAACCGCTGGAAATCATGACTCGCGACAACCTGCTCCACGACATGTATCGTAGTGTTCATCAGCAACGAACCTACGAGATAATGTGCAACGTTCTACGGCTTCTGATGCAAAAGAACCCCAACATGCGGGTAATTGAGCTCGGAGCTGGGACAGGTGGTGCGACTACACCTATTCTCCAGGCATTCAGCCCGGGAAGGCATGTTTGTTTTCAGCGTTATGATTTTACTGACATTTCTCCTGCCTTTTTTGAGGATGCGAAGTCGTCATTCAGCTCATGGGGTAGCCGTATAACTTACAATAAATTGGACATTGAAGTCGATCCGGTGGCCCAGGGCTTTGAGCCTGAGGGTTATGACCTCGTGATAGCATCCAATGTTCTGCATGCGACATCCTCGATCAATTTAACACTCCAGAATACCAAGCGGCTTTTGAAGCCGGGGGGTAAACTGATTATGCTGGAGACCGTGACAGACCCGTCGTGGGTGCATCTTACCAGCGGCACCCTGCCGGGGTGGTGGAAAGGTGAGTGCAGGCGGTTTAGCTCAGAGCAAGACTAACTATTTCAGGGGCTGCTGATGGACGCGCTTTATCACCACAACTAAGTCCAGAGAAGTGGAACTGTGCTCTCAAAGTCGCTGGCTTCACTGGTGTAGATGTTCATGTGCCAGATTACACGGAATCTCGACACCATCAAATGTCCGTGATGTTATCATCTGCATTGCCAGAAGCCAAGTATAGGCAGACTGGGACTGCACAGATCATCTATAGCAGTCAATCAGACCTGACTCTCTGCGATACCTTGAAATCCAGACTGGGTTATCCGTCTGAGGTTGTTAGCCTTGAAAAATCATCACCGACTTCCAAAATATGCATATGTACTTTTGAAGTCTCCAAGCCTATACTTGCAACGTGTGATGACCTCACATTTCAAAAAATTAAACGGGTCATGTTGTCGGCATCCATTGTGGTATGGGTGACAGCCGGAGGTACCGGCAATTGCCAAGTCCCAGAGAATGGGTTGATAGCAGGCCTCATGAGGACGTTCAGGCTGTCCAACCGGGACTCAAAGATGTATATTCTGGACATCCAAGATCTATATGATAATGATTCCCTGAGGATTGGGCAGGCCATTGCAGAATTCTGCCAGAAGACTGTGTTCCAACCCACGAGCAACTCAGAAGACAGGGAATTCGTCTATAAAGATGGAGTATTTATTCTTCCACGCTTCATCGAAGATCAAAAGCTATGCTCCATTTTTGATGATTCATTGGTCGAAACCAAGTTGGACTATTTTCTTCAAGCAAGCCGGCCGCTAAAACTTGGCATAACAATGCCGGGCTTCCTAGACTCGCTCCAATTTACTGAGGACCTGTCGCTGCTGACTGGGCCCGGTCCTACCCAGGTGTCTTTTACCCTCCGCGCCGCAGGGTTGAATTTCGCAGATATCATGACGTGCATGGGCCAGTTGGACGAAGACAATGATCTCCTTTGCGAGTCCGCTGGAATCGTCATTGAAGTTGGCTCAGAGGTTCAAGGCATACGGCCGGGTGATCGCATTGTGACAAGTCATGGCTCAAATTGTGCCAGTGTCGTGTATGCCGACTACCGTTTAGTGGTACCGATCCCTTCGGGAGTTAGCTATGAGGAAGCAGTGTCTCTGCCGGTGGTGTACTTGACCGCATATTATTCCATGGTGCATCTTGCAGGTATTCGGAAAGGCGAATCAATATTAATCCACAGTGCGGCTGGGGGTGTTGGCCAAGCAGCCATTCAGCTCTCGCAACACTATGGATGTACTATTTATGCCACCGTGGGCTCAGCTGAAAAGAGAAGACTACTCATCGACACATATGGCATTCCAGACGAACACATCTTCTCCAGCCGCCACACTGCCTACTCCGCCGGTCTCAAGAGGCTCACCAATGGCAATGGTGTAAATGTCGTACTCAACTCTCTCACCGGCGAGCATATTCCGGGATCGTTTTCTACCCTTGCCACCTTTGGCCGCTTTGTGGAAATTGGGAAGGCCGATTTGCAGAAGAACAGTCGGCTTGACATGGGGCTGATGCGGCGGAACATCTCCTTCTTCGCGGTGGACCTTGCCAAGATAGGGAATCTCAAGATGGACCTGGCCAGTTCACTTCTACATGACGTATTTCGTCTTTACGAAGCCGGAGCTATCAGTCATATCAAACCCTTGAATGTGTTCCCGATCCCCGAGATCGAGCAGGCGATGCGATTGATGCAAGCAGGGAAGCATATGGGAAAGGTGATTGTTTCCGTTGATGGGAACACTAAGCTGAAAATTACCAGCGCCACATATAAGGATGTGACCTTTAGAGCTGATTCCTCATATCTCCTTGTCGGAGGGCTCGGTGGCATAGGAAGAGAGATTTGCAAATGGATGGTTGAGCGGAATGCAAAGACCTTGATCCTTGTCAGTCGATCGGGATTAAACAGTGGCAACAAGGCTTTCGTTTCCGAATTGGAGGCGCTGGGAACAGCCGTAGATGTCCACGCTTGTGACGCGGCTGATCCCAAAGCTCTGAAGCGAGTTATTGAAAGCAGTGCTGAAAAATGGCCCCCAATAAGAGGAGTCATCCAATCATCGATGCTTGTCGAGGTAAGCGCTCTTGTTTCTTGTTTCCTTTTAAGCCATACTTATAAACTTTTTAGGCCATGCCTAACGAGCAGCTCACTGCTGAGGCATACCAAGCCGCACTTGAGACGAAAGTCGAGGCAACCCGAAACTTACATAATTGCTTCACCGGCCCGGACGATTTGGACTTCTTTGTCATGCTGTCTTCCGCATCTGGGGTGCTTGGAAATTTCGGCCTCGCTGGATATGCCTCCGGCTGCACTTTCCAAGACTCATTTGCCCGATACCGACAGAGTCATGGCTTACCGGCGGTATCCCTAGATTTGGGTATGATAGAGTCCGCTGGCTACGTTAGCCAAAGCGCAGACGCATTCAATGCACTAATGGCCCAGGGGTTTGAGGGAATGAATGTGTCTGAGGTCTTACTACTTCTGGGGAGTGTGATTGCCACTCCACCTTCAACACCGGATACAAGCCAGGTGATGCTTGCGGTGCGCAACAAGCAGCTAGATCTCGACGGAGAGACACCATCCTATCTTCTGAATCCAATGCTAGGCCCTATACGAGCTTCGAAGATACCATTGACCGCATCTACCCAAGCTGTGGCTACTACGGATGTCCGCCAGCAGCTAGCACACGCCAGCAGCCAGAAAGATTGCGTTGATACTGTGGAGACAGCTATTGCAGGGAAATTGAGCAAGCTTTTGGGTGCGGAAGAATCGTGCGTCCGAGCTAGTCCGACTCTTTTGGACCTTGGAATTGACTCTTTAATTGCCGTGGAACTCCGCAACTGGATTTCCATGCAGCTGGCGACGAATGTCCACACATTTGAAATACTAGCTCCTTTCTCACTCCATGCGCTTGCTTTGGCAATAACTCCGCGATCGTCGCATGTGAAAAAGGGGATATTCAACAGCTCGACCAGTGGTTAATCTCATATTGCTTTCAGTTGTGCATCCATGGCGGTGCTGAGTCCAGGTACTATGTTTACAATGTGAATGCCTGTGGCCACGTCATCTGAGGCTATTTCATCATTTTCCTTCTGGCTCTATTTCTTCATTCGAGTATGTATGTCGAGCCATCTAATAGTTAACTGCAGTTAACTATTATACCTGATCAGACAGAAATCAGGCAGGATCAGATATTAGTCTAACTATATTAGACTAGCTTAAGCAGAAATCAGACAGAAATATAGTACTACTATTTACTATCTTTCTAAATAGAAAAGGATCAGCGAATCATGTTAGCTGTTGTTAGAGTGGTTATACCTGATCATTATATCTTAACCTAACCTTAACCATAACCTGATGAAAAGGGCTAGGCCTTGTCAGCCATCCGGAATCGGAATATCTATATTCTGACCCGTCTGGTCCTGGATCTTAACCTGGTAATACCTGTAAGAAGAATAGAAATCTCTAAAATAGTAAAGAAGTTTACTAAAGTAATAAAGAAAAATCTCTAGAAGAATTATCTATAAGAAGAACTAATCTATTTATAAATTAGATAATTTTTTTTAATAAATTTAATTTCTCTACTAACTACTGTATCTTATGTAATTTATTTAACTTTTTAATTTATTATAATTTTGAATTTATTTCTTCTTTAAAGTATCTATCATATAATAGACTGATAATATATAATAATTATAATAAATTAATAAATATTTCTAGCTATTATAGAGGCATTATCTAAGCTAATATTATTAATTAATTAGTTAAATATATTAAAAAATTAATAATCTAGAATATAAAAATATAATGTATTATCTTCTAATAGAGTATGATAATAAATAATAAAATTAAGACTAGTCTTAAATGTGGAAGCTGATCAAATAGTCAAATTTGGTGCTATCTAACAAGAATTTCTAGTATGAGGAAAGAAAGAAAGAAGCTCAGGAAGAATATATAATTATATAAAAATAAATAAATTATATAAGATAGGCAAACAAAGCAAATAAAATAAAAATCATATAATCTTAAGATATTATTTACTGTTATATTATCTTTCTGTTTAGATCTGGCTGCTCTCAGCTAGAGATAAGTTATTTTTTTTATAATTTAATATAAATTTATTAGTTTTTATAGCTATTAATTATTATAAAAGACACTTGGAGGGTCCAGGACAAATAAAATATTTTATATAATAATTTTAAAAATAAAAAAAAATATTCTTGAAATTTCTTACTAAATACTAAATGTGACGGGCTAAGAAGCCAGGAGGACTATGTAAGATACAGTAATTAATAAAGAAATTAAATTTATTAGAAAAAGAACTATCTAATCTATAGACAGGTTAATCCTTCTTATAAATAATTTTTCTAGAAATTTTTCTTTGTAACTCTAGTAAATTTCTTTACTTATTTTAAAAATTTTTATCTTTCTTATAGATATCTCCGGATCAAGATCCAGAACTAGATAAGTTAGAATATAAATATTCTAATTCTAAATAACTGATAAAATCTAGTTTTTTTTAATTATTATTCTTTTTATTATAACACAGCTGAGCCGATATAGATTTTCTTAAATAAAATAAATAAATAGAATTATACCAGTATTTATAGATTTTAATATTATAAAACTTAATTATTAATTCTTATATAAATTTAGTATATTCCTTTTATTTAACTAAAAACATTTTTTTATAGCTATATTTTCCTTAAAATATATTTTTCTTATTTATAATTTTCTTAATAATATATTTCTCAATACTGTCTTCCGTGATAATAATATTTAATTATTAATTAATTATTTTTTAAATAAATAAAGAATCTATAGCTGCAGATTAAAGTAAATTAATATAAAATATTAGATAAATTCCAGATAATATATCTAGCCTGTATATATATATCCTGATTTATTCTAGTATTATAAACTTTATATTTTATTAATCCAATTTTTTATTAAATTAATTAATTATAATATTTTTTAGATTTAATCAGATCTTATTATTTTTTTTATAACAGAAAGTAGGATTTCATTATTAATTAATATATTATTCCTGTACTTCTTATGCTGTTATTATTATTAAATTAATAATATCTCAGATTTCTTAAAATTTATTAAAAATAATCTTAATCTGCTTTCAGGAATTCCTGACCTGATTATATTTTAAAAAATCTATTTTAATATTTAAATTTAAAAACTTTATATAAAAGCCATATTATAAGAAGAAAAAGCTTATTTTTATTAATATAAAATCCTGGTTATTTAGAGCTAACTGTATTAAGAATAATAATTTTTACTAATTAATCTATTATTAATTTATAAAATATTATAGAAAAATCTTAATAATTATAATTTAATATTTTGTTGCTCTATCTGTTTCAGAATAATAAATAATAAAAAAATATTATTTAATATCTAGTATCTTATATAGAATTATCTATAATTTATTTATAAATTAAGAACTGCAGTCCGAAACCACTAATTAAAGTATTTTATAATAACTATAAAATACTTAGATAAATATATTTATAAAATTTTTTATGTCCATGCTCGGAATAGCTTTAATAATAATATTTTTAATTAATTAATTAATAATAATTATAATATTTTTATAATTTTAAGACTCCGGGAGGTCTACTAAGAAGTTAATAATAATATTTTATTAAAATTAATCAGAAATTAATAATAATTTCAAGAAATCTTATTTATAATCTTTTTAAATATAATTAATCTTATAATTATTATAATTATAATAAAACCAGCAGATATCTTTATTTATATCTAACTAGTAATAATAATAAATAATTATTTTATAAGTCTAGTTCTATCTAGAATATCCAGTAATTATACTATTATAGACTTCTTAAATAATTTAAATTTATAAAAATTCTAAATTAAAAATCCAGACTTATTTTTAGAAAAGCAGATATTAACTTATATCCAGTTAGTATTTTATAATAAAGATTTTTAATTTTAGCTATTTAAAAAACTCAGGCCTGTTTTTAATTATTATTTTATAATATTTTTTTAGATTTTTATTAGCTTGTTCTGCTTGCTCTTATAAATTATTTAATATTAATTTTTTAAATTTTAAATTAATAAAGATTTTTTTATTAAAAATTTTATTAATAAATATTATATAAGCAAGCCCTTCTTCAGGTATAAAATAAAATAACTAGATTTCTTAATTTATAATATACTTATCTTTTTTCTTAGGCATGTCCTGGAATCTTTAAAATAAAATATTTAATTAAATATTTATTATTTCTGAATAGTAATCAATTATAAAATTAAAATAATTTAAGAACTAGATCTAATATATTTATTATTTTATAAATTGCTGTTGAATTATAAAATATTTTAAATTCTAATAATTACTAAGAATTTTAAAATAAGAAAGTATAATAAGCTCCGGCTTTTATTTTTATAAAATTTAAATAATTACTAATAATTTCTTATTATAAATCTAGTAGTTATACTTTACAGATAAATTTTTCTTTAAAAAGTATATTACTAGATAAAAAATTCTTTAATTATTCTATTAGAACAGTACTTCTTTTATATATTATTTAAAGAAATTAATTTTTATTAATATTTTTTATTCAGAGTCCCAATACACGAGAACAGAAATAATAATAAAAATCTTTTTAAAAATTTTAAATATTTTTTAAATCTCTGGTGTCCAGCTGAACTTGATATTTTTTTTAATAAATTATATTAAAAATTCTAAGTAGATTTCTCAGTCTTTAAGAAACTACTAGTAAAAATTAATAAATCCTAGAAAAATCCTAATATTATAAATAGTTTTTAATATTTTCTAATCTTATATAATCTAAATCTTAACAGAGTCTATACAGATTCTTTTTTTTATCTTAATAATAAATTCCAGGTATTTTATAATAATTATCTTAAACTTATATTTATTAATATTTATTTAAAAATCTATATTCTATAAATATTCCAGTACTTACTATACCTGGACACAGTATATAACTAGATTTTTATTTATAAAAATAAAAATATTATCAATATAAATAGAATAGAATTTATTAAAAAATTCCTGTAAAATCTAGTTAATATATTACTAAAATATATTTAAATAATTAATAAGTCTGAACAGGGCTACCAGCTATTTAAATAATTTAAAATAAATATAAAATATAATTTTCTATTTATCTTTTTCTTTAATCTAAATATAATAGAAGATTTAGATAATATCCAGTTTAGTATAATAACAGATTTTTAAAATATATTAAAAAGTTTCTTAAATAAGTAGTAAGAAATACTAGTCTTTTATAATTATTTAATTAAATACTTAATAATTTATATAAAAATATAAATTATTATTAGATTTTAAAATAAATAATACAGGCATAGCTACCAGAAAATTATTAATTCTTATAAATTCTTTTTTCAGAAAATTAATTAGAATCTTCTGTAATATCAAGAATTCTAATTAATTTATTTAATAAAAAAGATTCTAAGAAATCTTCTTTTTTTTTCTTTAATATTTTTAATTATTTTAATGGCATAATCTATCCCCGGGTAATAAAATAATAAAATATCTATTATTATTTTACTAAAAATATTTAAATATTTATAGTAAAAGTCTGGTAGCTTACTTTCTATTTTTATAGAATTTTTTAACTAATTAAATTTATAAAAAGCTTTATTAATATCTGCCAGACTTATTATAAATAATTTTATTAAATTTTTTGTCTTTTTTTAATTCTTTTAGATATACCACACGTTAGCAGAAATTATAAATAATATTAAAAAATAATTTTATTTTTATTTATATTATACTTCTACTCCCGTGCTCTAGATATTAAGTATAAAATCTTTAATTTAAAATATTATATTCTAGTACTTTATCCATAAAAATCTTAATATAATATTATATTTATATATACGTGGCAGGATATAAAAATATATATATTTTTATAAACTTTTATTTATATTCAGTAATATTTTTACTAATTCAGTTA